TGTCTCAATCACACAAGTCCCACACAAGGATGATGGAGACATACACATTTTGACATTTGTTTTGTTGATGATGATTTCATAACCCATAACTCCAGGAAAAAGAAAGGGGGCAGAAATAATGTTCTGGTCTTGTTTTTTAAAAATATCCTTCAGAATAAGAGACTTAGAAGCCTCACCTTTACCTCTGTCCCAGAATTATGGGACTCAGTGATTTCCTTCCATTTCCTTCACACAATAATATATGCATAAATATTGGGTTCTTAATGCTATCTGAGCTTGGTGTTTCTCTGCAGTCTCTTCCATGAATCAATGATGTTTGTTAGCCTGCAGGAAATGAGCCAAGCACAGAGAACACCAAGAACCCAGCCATTCAATCCTGAGTAACATACGTTTTCTACAATTGGATGCATAACTATTTCTGGATGAATTAATCCACTGAATTACTTTGAGAAGCTACAGATACATACATTGCACTTGCATACCAAAAAAGGGCCAGTAAACATTCATGATATTATGACTGCTACCCACTAAAAATCAGAATTACAACACAGGATCACAGAATCCACCAAAGTCATTGGTACTCTCTTTGCAATCATTACTCTCAAGTATCACCTTCCCCCCCACAAAAATGCAGAGTTTCACAGAGTTTCACAAAAATGCAGAGTTTTTACAGTGACTAAAAAATATGGGACTACTTCCAGTAGCTGCTAATCCACTATTTTTCGACATTGGCATCTTGAAAATATGTGGACTTTAACTCCTAGAATTCCCCAGCCAGCATCTGCACATTTTCAGGTTATTTAAGTGGAAAAACACTGTTACCTAAGTGGGAAAACACTATCTCTCCATGTTTCCTGAGCCCAAACCCTGGAACCCCACCTGGGTGTATTTTCTGTATTCTAGAAGGAAAGTGAACTCAGCTATATTAGAAAGAAGCTACTGTATGTTTATTTTGATATCGTGGATATATGTCCTGGAGGTATGTATTGCATTGTTACACATTTATAAACAAACCCAGATCCTAGATAAATAAATAGATAGATAGAAGGATGGATGGATGGATGGATGGATGGATGGATGGATGGATGGATGGATGGATGGATGGATGGATAAATAGATAGATGGGTGGATAGATAGATAGATAGATAGATAGATAGATAGATAGATAGATAGAT